ATATCTCTCATGAATAAGATGCAAAAATCCTCAACAAAATATTATCAAATTGAATGCCACAATGTATAAAAATAATTATACACCATGACCAAATGGGATTTATTCCAAGTATGCAATGCTGGTTCAATATTCAAAAGTCAGTTAATGTAATACATCACATCAACAGACTAAAAAAAAAATGTATGACAAGAGATGCAGAAAAATCATTTGAAAAAATCCAAAACCCATTCATTATAAAACTCTCAGCAAACTAAGAATAGTGGGGAACTTCCTCAATGTGATAAAGAACATCTACAAAAAAACCCAACTGATAACATCACACTTAATGGTAAGAAACTAAACGTTTTCCCTCTAAGATCAGAAATAAGTCAAGGATATCCCTTCTCACCACTTCTATCCAACATCATACTGGAAGTCCTAGCTAATGTAATAAGACAAAAAAGGAAATAAAAGGTATATAAACTGATAAAAAAATCAATAAAACTTTTTTTGTTGAACAACAACAAAACTCCTGAAACTGTAAGCTATTAGAGCAAGGTTGCCAGGTACAGGTTAACATACAAATACAAGCCTTAGCCTGGAAGAAAATATTTACAGAACATATATCTGACAAAGAACTGTTATCCAAAATATACAAAGAACTCTTAAAATTCGACAGTTAGAAAACAAATAATCCAACTACAACATAGGCAAAAATCTGAACAGATACCTTACCAAAGAAGTCATATAGATGGCCAACAAGCATATGAAAAGATGTTCAACATATAGGTCATCAGAAAATTGCAAATTAAAACAAGAATGAGATACCACTACACACCTATTAGAATGGCTAACATCCCAAACACTGAAAACAAATGCTATCAGGAATGTGGAGCAATGGGAAATCTGATTCATTGCTGGTGGGAATGCAAAACACTACAGCCACTTTGAAGATGTTTTGGCAGTTTCTTACAAAGTTAAATATAGTCTTACCATATGATCTAGCAATCATGTTCCTAATTGCTAAATAATAAAGAAACTGTTGGGTTTTTCTTGTGGTTTAGGATCATTGTGAAAAAATTACTGAGACCAGAGAGGCACCATAAACTTCTGTCTGAACTGTTTACAAAAGACTGTGCAAATACTTAGAAGAAGAAAGCAAACATTGCTGTATTATTATCAGACAAAATAAACATTAAGGCAAAAAAGTATTTTTGAGATAAAGAGTGTACTTTTACAGAGACAAAGGCTTAGTTTACCAGTAAATTTAACCAGTATAAATTTGTACACATTTAATAATATAGTTTCCAAACATATAAACCAATCTGGGAAAACTACCAGGAAATCCAGAGAAATCTGTAGTCACAGTGGGAGAATTTAACATACATCTCTTAGTAACATAGAATAAACAGACAGACTTCAATGAAATTAAAGAAGTGAATAACACAGTAAATACATTTGATCTAATATGTACACAAAAAACATGATTGATTAAACATTCATAAATCTAAGAACAAAGCTTTTCTGCTACTTCAATTAGAAATAAATCGATATTGAAATTATCATACATACTACTTAGTGTTTCCATTTTGACAGCTCCAAGTTTCTTAGTTTGAGATTGGCTTTTTGACAATGCAACTTTATCCTCTGGTAAAGGATTTTCATCTAATACGTTTTCTGCTTTCTGAGCTACAAGAAAGATGCTTCTAATCCATTAAATAGAGAACTGGATTTATTGAAAAACCTCTGTAACTCAATTATGTCAAACGTCAATTATCCAGGAATATTTTCTCTCATACTTTGAAACAATATAATCAAACACCATATTGTTGAGATACTGAATTATAGAGTGAGTATGCGAAGTGCAGGAATAATGGGAATACTTTTCAAGAGAATAGTTTTATAAATTATTCATATTTTAAGACTAAATTCAATATTTTTATAACAGATATAGGTGAGGAAAAAAAAGAATTGACAGAATATATTCAAAATAAATTTAAAAGGAGTTTCAAAAATAGATCAGTAAAAAACAGGTAAAAAAGACAGAAAATACAAGTGATGGTATACTTACCTCCAAAATATCAGTACTTCTATTCAATGTAAATGTACTAAATGTTCCATTTAAAACACAAAGATTGTTACATTGGATTAAAAAATAATCAACTGTAATGCATTTTATTTTAAAGTTACACGGCTAAGTCATAATAAAACAAAAAGATTGAAAGAATGATGAAAAAAATTATTCTATGCAACTAATTACATAAAGATACTACATTAATATCAGACAAAATAGACTAAAGGCACAAAAAAAGTTACTACAAAATGTTCATCAAAATGACAGAAATTTCAGTTCACTAAGTACATATAACAAATTAAAATCTGTATATTTATGATATACATATATCTAAATATAACATATAATATATATCTGTATATTTATTATATATAATAAAAAAGCTTTAAAAACACAAAAGAAAAATTGACATAACTACAAAGAATAATGGAGAAATAAATGATCACAGTAGCTGAATTTAACATACCTTTCTCACAAATGATAGAATAAACATAGAAGTTCAGTGAAATTAAGAAGGCATGAGCAACATAATCAACGATACAATGGAAAACATACATACACACATACATGTTATATATTTTATGCACATATGTACATGTATGTATATATGATACAGTATATAGCATTTATTTATACAATTGAACTGAAGAAACTTAATTAAAAATTATTATACAATATTCTTAATAATTATACTTACTACTAAGCCCCAATTTTCTGGCAGTTCCAAGTGTCTTAATTTGAGATTTTTTTTTTTTGAGATAGAAATTTTATCTTTAGGTGAAAGATTTTCATCTGATATCTCATGCATTTTCTCAGCTACAAGAATAGAGGCTTTTAATCCAATAAAAAGTAAAACAGCTAGATTGTGAAGCCTCTGGGTTACTAATATATACCAAGAACCTCTCAAAGTTTCCTTCCAGCTTTATAACAATTTAAGTAAATAAACACAATTTAAACAAATGATCAAACAACCCCTCCCCCCCCAAAAAAAAAACAAAAAATTCTGGTGCATTTTCAAAACAGACTATGAAATTAAGTGTAAAAATCATCAGAATGCTTTCCTGAAAGTATGTGGAGACATTCTTGTTACTTCATATATAGATTTAGAAAGTTGTAATTAAATTTTATTGTACTAAGGGTATTCACATTTTAAAAATATTTAAAAACTTTATAACATATATGATTGATTTAAAAGTTAGACTGATTAAAAAGTAATAATTCCAAAATAAGGAAAGGAAATAAAAAGAAAGCTGGATAAGGTAGGAAAAATAGAAAGCATCTAAAAGAAGAAATATTTAAATCCAAATATATCAATATGTATAATAATTGTAAATGGATTACATGTTGTAGGGATAGACAAAGACAGTCACACTGGATTTATCAACAATTTAACTATAAGCTATTTATAAGAGACACCACTAAATTAGAAGAATACAGAAAATTGGAAAGTAAAAAGGTGATAAAAGATATGCCATGCAAATACTAACCAAAATAAATCTGCAGTAGTTGTGTCAATGTCAGACAAAATGGGACTTTCGTCAAAAGAACTTACTGGAGACAGACTAAGATGGTACTTTTCATAAAAAGAAAACATTGAGTTTATAAGAAATATCTAACATTTTTATTTTTATGCACCTAGCAACATAGATGGTATAAGGAAAATGGACAGTACTACAAGAAGAAATAGATAAATCCATAATCATGCTGGAGAATTCAATATACATCTCCCCATAATTGATACAACAATAAAATTTAAGGAAATCAAGAAATAGGAAATTTAAATAACATTTGACTTAATAGATGTCTTTAAGCTTGTAGCAGAATACATATTCATGAACAAAATTTTGCTTAAATCAATTAAAATTTTAAATAATATTCATAATTATATTTACTACTAAGTCTTTTCTTTCTAGCAGTTTGAAGCATCAGGCAAAAGATTTTCATCTAACACCTCATCCATTCTCTGGGCTTCAGGAAGAAAGTCTCATAAAAATCACTAAATAGAGAACCAGATTTGTGGTGGAACCTCTAGATTTACAATATATGTTAATTATCCAACAATATTTTATCTCATTTTTTAATGATATAAGCAAATCAGTGTCTAGTTGAAATATAAACATCATATGAATACTTTTTCACTTGTATATATAAGCAGTCTTGTTACTTTTTAGATATACAGAAGCATTAAATATATTTAATTTAGAAATATTATTATAAACATTATAAATACTTATATATTTAAAATTATTCTCTAGTTTCCTTAGAGTATTCACTCAGAATAAAGTTTAAAAATTTTAGTATCAAATATGGCTAAGGAAAAATATATATAATATAAAAAGTATAGAAAGAGCCAGAAAATGGTGTAATTACACCTAAAAATATCACTAATTAAATTATATATGATTATGAGAGCTAATTAAAAGACAAAGATCAGGCTGAATTTTAAAATATATACAATTATAAGTTGCTTACAAGCAAAATCATAAAGATACGGGAAAATTAAAGTAACAAGATAGAAAAAAACGTATCATGCAAACTTCAACCAGAAAAAGCTTTGTGGTGCTACATTAATAGCAGATGAGGTAGTTTTAAAGGAAAATAGACAAAAACTATAAAAATGATGAAGTGGGTCTCTTTGTTAGGACAAAATGTTCTGTCCGCAAGAATATTATCAATTTTAAATTTATATGCATATAAATAATAGAGTATCATAAGATATAAATCAAAACCTGACACAATTATAAGAAGAAAATAGACAAATCCACAAAGTATGAGATTTAACACATCTAACTCAGTAATTACAAAACAAACAGATAAATCATCAATAAAGATCTAAAGTATGATGGGAAAAATCACCCAAGAAGCATATGATTGAAGATATATTCACAAATATGTTTTCCTGAATTTAATTAAAAATAATTTATAAGATTTATATTTAATTACTTACTTTCGAGATTCTTCTTTCTGGTAGCTCCAAGTTTCTTAGTTTGAGATTGGTTTCTCAAAAATAAAACTTTCTCCTCAGGAAACAGATTTTCAACTGATATCGTATCATTTTTCTGGTTTTCAAGAGGAAATGCTAAGTAGAAAATGCATAAGTATAATGAAACTTCTGGAAATGCCAAATGATCATCAAATTTTCTTCCCATACAGGTGAAGTGAGAAAAATCTTGTGAACAGTTTTCATGAGTGTGTCTGGAAGAAGTTTTGTTACTTAGTATTTATTGACCATGCAAATAACAACCAAAAGCAATCATTAATTTTGCTTTTGTTCTCTAATTATCTTAGGGTATTTACACTTTAGGTCATAGTGTAAAATTTCTATAAAAAAAAATATATGCTCAAATATACATTCATGAACCAAAGAAAAAAGATCTTCTAATGAGCTTAATTTAAAATAATTTAAAGTTTCCTATAATTATTATATTTACTATTGCGTCTTTCCTCTCTGGAAATTGTTTCTTTACTTGCATTTGGGGTTTTGACACTGAATCTTGATTCACAAATACAAGATTCCCTTCTGGTTCTCCCACATAAGCTATATAAAGAGATGCATTTAGTCCACTAAATGGAAGAATAATCTACTATGAAATCTCTAGATTTCAAATTTGTAACAAGTATACAGTAGTATTTTTTCTCATTTTTATAAAATCATAAATACATTATTATAATGCTAGATCTGTCATCAAAATGGGTGATGTCTAAGCTCTCTCCTTATTTAATAAGTATTCCTAAGCAACAAGCATATTTTATATTGGTTTACAGGTTTCATTGGTTAGTTATACTTTAGGTTAATACATAATAATAGACCAAGCAATGAAAATGCATATGCACAAGATTAGTCATTACAGCCTAACTTGTAATTGCAAAATATTGAAAACCATCTAAATGTTCACACAGAGGAGATTGGTTAAATAAACTGATATATATATATACCACAACTGATATGTATTGGTATAGTATAAGTAATGCCATAATCATAGATAATGATGTATATACATACACACATATATATGTCTGTATATATACACAAATACCTGTACAAACAGTGAGACATTCCCCTCCCATTGGCACTGATACATCTGACGCTTGCCTGATGTCGTTTCATTGGAAAATGAAACATTGGTTGAAACATTGGTGGAGCCAGTGCCCTTTCATGTTTAGACTCTTTCTTATTTTATTGTAGTAAGTGAATAAAGGCTTAATTGTTACTTTCAGTTTGGTTTGCGGCCTTAACTGACAAGTTTTACACCTGGCGGTTCCCTCTTAGTGGCAAATGGTGGCAGGCAGGGTGACCCAATTAAGCACACTGTCTTTCTGGAAAAGTAAAAAGCATGAAGATCCCCCAAGGGATTTCTGGCAGATGCTAGAGAAGTCTATAAGGCCTCTTGGGGGAGTACCAGGGGGTCTTTTGCAAGAGTCTGAGGGTCCAACAAGGTGCTTTGCCAGCCACATCAACGAGTCTCAGGAAGCGCTATCTCAGGAATGCCATGTATACTCTTGGGGAGTGCGAGCAGATTGTTTATGTAAGCTTTTTGGTTTTGAGAGGTACCAGTGGTCCTTCTCTTTAGCCCCCGACTTCCTGGCCAAAATGCCTGGTAGGTCAAATTAAAGATCCAACAGAGGGGCTCTGGAAAATCTAGGGAAGCAATTCCTTGCTATTGTCCTTTAATGATAGGACTAAAATTGCCACATACTCTGCAAGCTAAGTTGCACCCAGTGATTGTTGTTAGCTCTAATGATGTCCCAGACGACGACAGACAACCTACAACACAGCAAGTTATTGAGACTCATGGTTTAATTAAATGAATACAGAACTCTTTGGAATTGCTTTGCCCAGTGACCTAAAGAGACCCTAAAGACTTGAGTTGTTTATTTGCATGATGAAGGAGGTAGTCTTCTTAAACTTAGTGAGGGACAGTGGTACTTTGTGGGGTGCATCACTATAGTACCCCTCCTTCAGAATATCTTGACAGCAGAAAGTTTGATCAAGGAGGAAGCAGAAAGGGGGAAGATGAGAGGCAAACCCCGAGACCCTCTCCTTCCTCAGCTGGGTACTATTTGTGCTCTGACAGCTTCAGCATGAACCTACCACTAAAATCATGTTTGGATCACCATTGCAGAGGCCATAGCAGCCCTGTGAACCATGCTGGTGGTCCCCAGCTTCTACAATAATGAGTAAGAACAGTAGATAAGACCGTTAACCAGCTCAGATTTCTAGGTTTGTTCATGTTACTCCTGCTGGTTATCAAGCTCAATCAAACTTCTTCATAAGGTCAGGTGAATATGTTCTGTGACAAAATCCAGAACTTAACTGAGATACTTTGGGACATGGAAAAAACAGCTACTGCCCAGACAGCAAAGACTGACTGGCAGAGAGAGTGATATAAAGCATAATCAGGCACTCTCTTCTGGATGATGCTTCTAGAGGAGCTCTCTGAGTCTCTCTGATTACTCAACAACGGGTTCTCAAAGAAGAGGTTGATGGCCAGGTATTGGTGGCCCCACTAGGGTCTGCATGTTAACAACCTCTACGATTAACAAAAGTGTTATTCCTTCTACCCCCCCATGAATTTGGAGATGAATAGAAGAGCCCCTCCCACTTTTACCGAGAACTCTCAGTTTTCAATGACTAACCAGACCAGGAGTTATATCAGGTCCCTATATCCCCAGTAGGGACAAAAGGTTGTATTCCAGGGTCAGCGTTCAATGGAAAGGTGGGGGAGAATTACATTTCTGGGCCTTTTGGATACTAACGCAGACATGACTGTGACCGACATACCCCAGCACCAGAATGAGGGGAAAACAAATAATGCTCTCTGGTTTTGGGTCTGAGGTCACTAGCACTGGGACCCTTACCTAGACCCGACTATAGATGGGTCTCTTTGGTCAAGTACAAACTCCATTTTTATGGCATTCACTACTGAATGTATCATTGGTATAGATGTATTGTTTAGGTGAACATATGCTCACCTTTGCCCACCAGCCCCCCCAAAAATTGCTCCAGTTAGCTGCCATTTTAGTGGGGCAGGTGGAAGACCATAAGCCTACCTGACTACCAGCTCCTAGTGCTGTTATTCCTGAAAAACAATAGTGACTGCCTGGAGTGAAAAAGAAATAACTGCCTTCATTGCTGAGTTTAAGGATAACAAAGTTCTTCATGAGACTAATTCTCCATTCAATAGCCCTATCTGACTTGTGCACATGGCCTCAGAATCATGGAGTCTGATGAATTATTGGCAACTCAATGCTGAAGTGCAGCCCTGGGCACCAGCAGTACCTGACTTTGTGACCATCACAGAGGCTGTTGCTCAAGATAAAGGAACTTGGTGTACAACAACCAACATCTCAAACTCCCTTTTTAGCATCACTGTCCATACAGATAATTAGGATCAGTTTACTCTTATATGGAACAGGTTGCACCATACCACTAATGTCCTTCCACAAGTCTACCTAAACTCTCTGACTATTTGTCATCAATGAGTAGGGTAAGACCTAGAAAAAGTCCTGCTACTGGAGAGAACACTAGCTTTCCATCAAATTGAAAACACCTTCCTGGTGGCCCCAGACAAGAACACTACCCAGTAAGGACTGGTCACTCTGGAGACTCACATGGGGCAACATGACTGAGCTATTAATACAGACAAGGTAAAAGGACCTATTACCCAAGTAAAATTCATGGACGTGATCTGCAAAGGGTGATAACATTTCATTCCAGGAGAGATGATTGCCAATATTTGGTTTTCTCAATCCCCCAAAATGGAAAGGAGACCCAGCAACTGGTGGGACTTTTCTGGTACTAGCACTTTTCACACAGAGGACTTGATGGCACCCATCTGTGAGGTTACAACGAAGACCTCACCTATGTGTGGGGCAAAATTAACAGAATACCCTGGGAAGGGGCCCTCTGAAAAGCCTCTCAGGCTGCCCTTCCCCTAAGCCTCTCCGATTCCTATCTGTTCGAGTTACAGATCTCAACAACTTCTCAGTTTGTCATTGGAGCCTACACTGCTACAGGTCAAAAGTGCCTCTTGGGCATAATCTCCTGGAACCTGTAATCTCCCACAATCAGCTAAAAAGTATACACCCCTTCAGATACTATTGGCCAATTTTGGGGCCTCGGTAGATGCTGAGTACATGTCCTATGGCTGTGAAATAATCTCACAACTAGAAATTCCAGCCTGAAGGTATTAACACTTTTGCTTTTGTTCTTTGGTTATCTTAGGGTATTCACACTTTAGGCCAGAGTGTAAAATTTCTATAAAATATATGTTTAAATACATATTCATAAATGAAAGAAAAAATATCTTCTGATGAGTTTAAAATAATTTAAAGTTATACATAATTATTATACTTACTAGGGCGCCTTTCCCTTCTGGAAGTTATTTGTTTCTCTACTTGCATTTGGGATTTTGACACTGAATCTTGATTTACAAGCATAAGATTTTCATTTGGTACTCCAAAATGAGCTGCAAAAAGAGATGCATTTAGTCTACCAAATGGAAAAACAGATCTACTGTGAAAACTTTAGATTTAAAATTTGTAACAAGTGTATATAGCATTTTCTCTCATTTTTATAGTTATAAATAAACTACCATAATGCTAGATCTGACATGAAAATGAGAAGAAAAGTTTTAATGGGTACTATTGAAACTACCTCATAATTTCAAAAATATTCTGAGGCATCAAATATATTTCAGATTAGTCTCTACTTTTGTGTTATTTATACATTAGGTTCACACATAATAATAGATCAAACAATGAAAATGCATATGCACAATGTTATTCATTACAGTATTATTTGTAAATGCAAAATATTTAAAACCATCTAAATGTTCAAGAAGAGGATATTGATTGAGTAGATAAGGTATATACTATAAATTATGGTATAGTATAAACTATGGTATGTAATGTGATACAAAATGCTTTTCATATTTATGTAAAACTAATGACGATTTCTATAAACTTACATGGAGGGATTTCTAAGAAATAATGTTAAGTCTAAAAATCTAAAAAGAGAGTATCTAGTATGTTGACTTTTGGGTAGAAAAAAGTAATCAGAAAAAATATAAAGAGAAATAGATAACTTTACAAAAGGACGCACAGGAAAGATAAGCAAGAAAATAATATAGATGGTTACCTACAAGAAGACAGGTGTGGGAGAGAAGACTGAGAAATGCAAGCAGAAGGGTTGGGGAAGAAACCACACTGTGAAGTAAATCTTTTGTATAATATTTACTTTTGGAATATTCTACACATTCCAAAAATAAAATTAAATCAACAAGGACAAGAAGAAGAAACTAAAACTGAAAGCAAACTTAATGAAATGAATCTACTGACGGGATTAAAAAAACAGCACTAATCCAAATAAATTATAAATACAGTGTTTGAAACATACCCTCAGTCTTGGGCAAGAGTTTCGGGGGCAGACTACAAGCAAATCGCTAAATCTTTTAGGCAGGTTTGTTTTTGTAGTAGTATGTGCCAGGCAATTCTGTAACAAGGCTTGAAGCATTGCAGGATTGAGCAAATACATAAATTTGTTGATGTTTTAAGAGTCAGGATTAACACTATAGAAGAAAGGATATACACATACGAAATGGAGGAAGGCAAGAACGAGACCTGAGGGACTAGCACTGAAAGTGTCTGAGATTCCTCACTATTTCTAAAATATGTGTATACATGACATATGCATGTATATGTGCGCATACACGTGTATCTGTGTATGACACATTATAAGTACATGTGTATAAACTAAGAAGTGTGGATCCGAGTTAAAATCCTATGTGTGTGTGTATGGTGATGGACTGTAATTAGTCTTTGGGTGGTGAATATGATGTAATCTATACAGAAATCGAAAAATTATGATGTAACCTGAAATTTATATAACGTTATAAACCAATGTTACTGCAATAATAAAAATTTTTTTAAAAACCACAATGAGATACTACATTGTATCCAGTAGGATGGCTGTAATAAAAAAATCAGATAACAAGTAAAAAAAAAAAAATCCTACATGTCATCTTTCAGGCTCAACCACAGAAAATTATAAAGGCTTTATGTGGCAGTTACCATGGGGAAAAGCTTCCTACCCCACACTAGACCTAATGCACAGTGAGTGCACTGTCTCTGGAAGGATGTTCAGTCAGAGCTCAGGTCTCTCCAGACCAACCATGCTCTTACACACATATCTGCCTTCCCAGCCCCGGTGCCTCCATTCAGAGGGGCTCAACTGAATCACTGTACTGTTTAGGTGATTCTGCTTAGACTCTCTTATTGGGGAACCTTGAAGACAATTTTCTCCTTTCTGACTCAGTTTTCAGTACTTTTCCACTTCTAGCCCTCCCCACATCCCCTCACATCCCAGGTCCATAAAATGGAAAGAGCTTTTTGTTTGGGGCAGTGAGACAATCCCCCCTCCCCCCGCACTGCCCTTTGTGATGAAACATCTAACATTCACCTGGTGCCGTCAATGGGGAAAAATGGAACATTGATAAAATTGGGCCCATTCTCATTTAGACTCTTGCTTATACTATTACAGTAATCAAATAAAGGCTTAATTCTTACTTTCAGTTTGGCTTGTCATCTTTTTTTTTTTTTTTTT